TAATAATAATAATAATAAATAATAATAATAAATAATGATAATAATAATAATAATAATAATAAATTAGAGAATAAAGAATAAAATCGTAAGGAAGGGAAAAGAAATAGAAATGGGAAATGTTGATTAGTTTTCGAGACTTTCGAGAAATCAGAGAAGCAATGTTTTGCACATGAATGTTAAGAAGAATATCAATAATGTTAAATATACAAAAATAAAGACTAGAGAATGAAACAACAAAATGAACGGAAATTCATTTCAAGATCACAATTTTTAAATGAAAGAAACAACTATTTTCGTTTTAATAGAGGACTTGAGCGAATCGTATTTAATGCTATGAAAATTCTTTGCCACAAATAAAAACTTTGAATGACATAAAAGCAAATCTGAATTGAACTTCTAAAAAAAGTTTGTAGTATGATTTCAGATTTTGTGAAAAAATGCAAAAAGTGCTAATTCTTGCTGAGACGAGATGAACTTTCTGTGCTTTTAATATTAAATCGCCTTTAAAATGAAAAGTCAGAAAATTATGTGGAATCCGCAACTTAATTAATTAGGAATATTTTGCAACTTTCTAAGGGCGGGATGGAAATCCATTTTTCGATAAACTATTCATAGGGACACATTTGATGAGCAATTATCATTATTGGTCGAATTATCACCGCGTAAAAATATATCCTGCAAACAAAAAAAAAAATCAATTTCAGGTAAAATCGAGTTTTCCTGAAATTTAGATTATGATTTAATATTAAGAGTGATACGACCAACTTCCAGAAATGAAAATTATTTGAAAAGTAAAAACATCCTTAACATATCACTACCTGAGCTTCCTGTTTTTAAAAATCCTTTCACAATGAATAAATGAATTAATATTACTGAAAACAAAAGGTACTGGGTCTATTTGTTAATCAGTTACAGAGGACAGATTAATAAGAGAAGGATAAGGAAGTTCAAACCGATAACTGTAGCTCTAACCTGATCACATGATGAGACAACTATTTGCATAGATTGAGCTTCGAAAAAGAAATTTAACTTTGATTTGAGAAAGTGAAAAGCTGAAAGTGAATGAGCTAGCATACTAAGGAGAAGCAATATGACACCGGCTAATGAAAGTGTTATCCATAGAGGTTGCTTGGGCTGAACTGCCTGATCCAGGTAGACATCAGGTAACAAATGATCGACCTGGTCTTCGTCATACACCATTTCCACTGAAGCTGGCACATGTTTGATTTCCTGTGAAAAATGTAAATAATAAAAAAGTAACAATTCATGTGAGATTGAATTTTTCACGAAAATCAATTGAAGCTTCTAAAAATTTTATTTCATATCTTTCATTTTATAAAATTTAACGTGCCATAAATTTTTTGCTTTAGGTAGTTTCAAATTTTTACTTGAAAAAAACTTGAGGAAACTATAGAAAATCGTGATTATAGGAAATCATTAATTATCATATCCTTTTATCGATACATTTCCATATTATATTTTGAATATATTGCAAGCTACGAATGCCATAGTTTTTTAAGATATCTTAATTAGCTTTTGAAAGAAGGATAGACAGAATATTACTATACAAACGCCAAATGGTTAACGGTTTACCTGTTCAAACTGGATTAGTTGTTTCCAGAAACCAATATTTGGTCTCACCAAGGACCTCTTAGAAAGCATCAAGAAATAAGCATCACGAAGCGATCGACATCGATATTTGGTAAGAAAAGCGAGACAAACTGTGGCTGATCGTGATACACCCGCAACGCAGTGAACTAACACTGCTCCACCATTTGCTATGACTGTTTCTATCTGTAATTTTCAGATACATTTTCCAAAGATTTTCTGGAATGAATGAAATCACTTAGAATTCTTATCAACGATTATCACTAAGATAGGTAATGGTTCAGAGACGGTATCAGTAGTATTATAACTGAAATATTGCTATATATAAAATGAATCGTGAATCTGTTATTATATTACTCCAATAAGGACACCGTAAATGACTTTCTCTTTATATTCTAGATGATGTCATAGTTGGTTTCGGAGAAAAGTAAGGGAAAGACGCCGAATGCCAAATATAGCCATCCAGAAAAGGATAAAAAATTAGTGCTAGGTTTTTAGTTCCCTCAAAACATATCTTTTTTATTCATCCATAGCTTTGTTTGGAGTAAGTTCGTCCACTAATAGGTAAATATGTTAGCAAGCTAATGTTATAAAGTCCATTCAACTTATACTTAAAGAAAAAAGTAACAATCGTGACAGTTGTAAAAAAGACGTCGTCGCTATCAGCAACAATAAAGACTTAGATTCAATTTCACTCTGTAAGATTATTATATAATTACTAGGACTAAGTTAATACAAATTCACTGAAACGAAGTTCGAAAGTTCAAACTGAAATAAATTTATCATCCCTTATTATAAAATTATCATTATTATTAGAATGATTTGAACAGGAGAAAAAAAAATGCACGAATTTTTAACCTGATCACTAACAGCTTCAAGATGAGGGTAAATATCAGTTTCTGAGGTATCATCGATCCATAATTTTATGCGGGGTATATTTCCCAGCGTTTTCGAATTGGGGACCTGCGAAGCATAAAAATTGTGGTTGTGAGAAATTTCATATCCAAATGACCAGATCTTTTCTACATTTGTTGGCTATAAATGTAAAATTTGAGAACACCTGGAGGACAGAATTTTTATTTTCACTGTCATAATAATCAATTTGATAATTTATTAAGAGAAAAGTGATTATTTTGTACACTTGTTGCTTATTTCTAGAGAAAATAAGTGAAAAGTATGCGAAAAAAACTTTCCATTACCCTATTTTTTTAAAAAAAAAAAACAAAGCAAAATTACATTAGGTTAACCTCACGCAAAAATATTGATAAGGCTTGAATATAATGCTTTTTTTTTAACATTGAATGCGTCCGATACAGTTATTGTTTTTCATGATGAATATTCAAATATTATCTGACATTATTAGCCCACAGCAAATTTCAGCACTCGAAAAGAATGAATTTATTCATTGTAAAAGAGCTTAAAGAGGTTTTAAAATATTTTGTAATTGTAAATTAGTTATAACACTTGTACTGGAACATTAGGGTCGTCCAGCAAAGGATAAAAAGTTGAAACTAAACGTTTTAGCTACTATTTCACTTTGAAAAAAGTTGATTTCTCGCCAACTATCAATATGTTGGCAAACGTCAATTACACCTTTTTGATACATAGAAAGATTCAAGAAATATAACTAACTTCATTAGTTGCATTGACGATCATCGTTATTCCATTTTTTCAATATTATGGCGATTTAATTCGCTGACGCCACATATGAAGAGACCGGGCACTATTTGCGACAATTTGGCATATTCTGGACTGACCTGATACGATACCTGCGTCTGTATCATCTCCAGTAAAAAGTTAATTAGTATTGAAATACTCCAATATACTATAAGAGACTACTTGATGTGTATGCAGTCCGACTGCAAAAATAAACTTCTGGTGAAAATGAAGCCGTGTTGCGCCATCTTAGATTATTTCTTCAAATAGTCTTAACAAAGCGCGCGGAATCTGAATGTATTATGAGAGTCAAAGCATATTTATATGTGGATGTTTTTGAATTCCACTAATAATTCCTTTCCTATGCAACTTCTTGCTTTCATCAGCAATATCTGTGAGGTCTAAAGCAATATATAGGACAAATGCTTGAAACAAAGAAAAATTTTGCCACAAACTTATCACGTTTAACGTAATCGTATTTTGCCTATACTAATATGAACTCTATTCTGACGGGGGCCTATGAAGTCACAAGTGAAATAATATATGCATAACCGTGTTGTGATTTCGAACGTAATTTGCGGACATCTAAAATATTTAAGCTTGATTTATCATTTCTCCTATATATTGTTTCTCTCAGTAGTTTTCAAGTTATCTTTATGGAATAATTTACTAAAAATGATGGTAACTAATTACGAATGAGCAAATTTTATAATCCTCTACTTTTTTCAGTTTGTAACTTAATTAAAATCAGATCTATTGATTTTATCTGCCGCATTCTAGATGATTCGGTATATCTTGTCGTTCACTTTAAGTGCTTTGCTAACAACGACAGTTGTATGCTATGATTACCCAAAATTGAAGTAATGTTACGATTTATCTGTTAAAATAACTTGGTAGCAATTCACAAAAATGTTTGTAAGTGGAAATTAATAAATTCTAATTGTGTTTTGGTTGCTTTTTTGTTTTTGAAAGTCACTATAATTTTTGACTTTTTGCATGCATATATATAAGGGAAATCTTGAAATTTCATAAAGGACTAAAAGGGAACTGATCTATTGGGATAAGACAACTGTTTAAATTTGGGACATTGGTCTGTTTTCAGATAAAATATTTAAAAGGAGAACTTTTAAAAAGCCTAAAAAATGTCCATTTTTAATGTTAGGTGTTAGTTTCGGTCACAAACACATTGATGCTTCATTTTGGTATAACTGAAACGATTAGAATCTAATTAATATAAAATGTTTGGAGCATAGTAAGAATAACAGGTGCAAAATCTATTTTTGAGTTTGCCTATTCGAATGGATTTTCACTTTTCGTATTTTTAGAAAAGTAACAAGAAGTGATTTAGACCGTGATAGGTTGAAAATTGTTTCAGTTTGATTTTTCTTGATGAGTTCACAGATCTAATCAACGGTGTTATCATCCCTCTTATTTATGAAATCTCTAACAAGTATAAAAATGAGCCTTCCTTATTTTTGACACGATTTTAGCTGTCTCAATCACATCTACACTATCTCTCTCGTCAACAAAGCCTTATGTCCATCAAATACCATTGTCACTTCAGCAAAAGAAATTTTAAAGTTTCAGAGTAAAAAAACCGATAATGAAGGGAAAGGAATAGTTGACAGGTTTTTAAAAAGTATCAAAAATACGGCAACAGATTGAACATTATTCAGAACCGGTTATATTTTACATGATAGGAAATGTGTGGAGTGGAGTGAAAATAATTCACTGTGATCAAAAGCAGTAGTAAATACTGATATATTCTCATGCATAATACAATGAAGATTCTCATTCTGGAATGTTTTCACTGTCACAGAATTATTTAACCATTATCAGTTTCCGTTTTACAAACATTGAAAATATCTAACTTTTTGGGGCCAGACATTTAGTGCATCTTTTCATTCAAATGTTAAACATCTGCAAGAAGAGAAACTTACATATTAACTCTAAACAGGGAAAAAATATTATGATGTTTAATTAAAACGGCAAGACGCTAATTCCGAAATGAAAATCTTAAATTCTTTCATTTTGGATGGGCATCATGAACGAAAGGATCGTCTACCTATGTTTGTTACAAGAGCGCTGATGGCTGAGAGAGTTATACAGTAAAGCAAGTCTGACCACAAGAAGTACAACAAAAGAAGCGGATAATATCCTTAGGCGTTATTAGCGAGGCACTGCTTTTTCTGCATTGTTTTTTCCTCCTTGGGACTAATTCTGCGTATGTTTCCAAAGGAAGCAGCAGCGTTATGGATGATGATATGTCTCTATGTTTCTTAATTCGAAGCCAGAGTGAACCACTGATGATAATCTATATGGCTAAGGCTGAGGTGGTTGTTTCAGTGAGTTCTTGTATCTCCTCTCTGGAACTTTTTTTCAGTGGAAGCCAATGGCGAGTTCGCCATAGAGCACATTGTTAGGAAGGCAGTGATCCTCTGTCCTGGAGACGTGCCCTGTCCAGCGCAGCTGCATTCTCAGCAGCACGGCCTCATCACTCTTTCAAGTATTCTAAGGAAGCAATGCTTCTTTGAAAACCGACCGCTTATTTTACGGGATTTCGGGTAAAGTTTGAGATTTTTCCTGTCAATATCTCCCCAAAGCAAATCTGTCTTCATGCTTGAGAGAATGCTTTAAATACGCAAACAAATCGCTAAATTCGAAGCGATTTTTAGATTTTGAATGCAATCATAAATTTGACCAAAAATAAACATTATGTACAGTTTCATTCTCAGAAAAATATGTCAAATGAAACTTGGCCTGGTGACATATGAGCAAAACAAACTATTTTTAATACAATAATGATGGGAATAGTTTATTCTATTCTGTAAAACATGCGTTGCAGTCCCGGACATGTATAGACTACATAAATTAGAGAAAGAAGATAAAGTATAAGTTGTAAAGAAATATCAGATGTATCTCTGATAACAGATAGTTTGTAAAACCTAAAATTTAGACGATTGTAGGTATTTGTTTGTCAAAATTTAACTACGAGAGACAACAATGGGGAAACAAAATTATCATAATGATAATGTTAAAGGTAACGATTTTGGACGAGATTACCTTGATAAAGGTAAAATGGAAGAATTGTGATTGCAGACCTTTCCCACATTTCACTTCAATTTCCACTTTTACTTTAATATCGAATAACACGATGAATTCACGTGGACAATTTAAGCAATGAAGAGTATGAAGCATTAATAGCACCAAAAAACTAATTCGAGAGGAAAATGTTGAAAGCAGAATAAGCCAGAGATGTTATGTATGCATGTATGTTTAGCCTCATAGACTTGGCTTGTTTGATAGGCTTGGCTAACTGCTATTACCCACTGTGTTATTGCATTGGCTGATGAAAATGTCCCACAAAATAATGTTAATCCTTGATTGGTGTAACACGAAATTTTGCTATATTTTTCCAATAAATTTACTATTAAATAACAACTTACTATTATCTCCGAAAAAAAAAACAGTTCGAATTGATTAAAAAGATTGAAATTGGATCAGAAAATCAAAAAACTAAGGTAAAGTGTAATTTAGCATAAATATTAGAGAAAGTTTCAGAGTATCAGACTGCTCAGACATCACTACGATGTTATGTGTGCCGCGTATATTTAGCCTTATAGGTTTAATGACTTGGCTAGCTGCTACCCTTTGCGCCATAACTGCATTGACTGATGAAAGCATTTACGTAGTAACTCCATTACTCCAAGCTGATTTCTTACTAATTTACTGATATTACTTTTCGTTTGCTTCATCTGGTGGTTCAAGTTTTTAGAATACACATGCGATACGCGTGCATCAACATTGTGTCATGTATAGAATATCGTCGTATGAGCATGACATCATGTCACCGTTCACTGCACCGAGAACCGATCTGTACAAAGCACTTCCTTTCCATTTAGTGTTTGATCATTTCAACGATGATAGCTATACGTTTCACTGCTTCATTCGACGACAATCGTAGTAAATTACAATCATAATAAACTTTTATAAATGCTACTTATTAATTAATACCAACACAAACGACCACTGACAATTATACCGCACCATTTTAATAGTTCTATTTCTGTATTTTAGGATTACGTATACTTTCCGTACTATAGTCTTTACTTTAGCAATAAACCAATGGCATCGTGGTTAATCGAATGAATCAGAAAACATTTATTGCAATAAATTCTAACTATTGATTTTTCACTCACGCTAATTTAGCTTTTTGCTCTAATTTGCATATATGTGTTCAACAAAAGGCGTTGTAGCACAATTTATAACTTGGATTCTCGTACATTGGGTTGCTTATAAATTAAAAAAAATCATTGGAAAATTCAAAGTAGCACCGCCAAGATGACACACTTTTGCAAACCATTCAATGCTTCCCTAAAATGACATTTGAAATGTTGAAATCAAAATGCAAATGTCAATTTTGTGACTTCCTTCGAGGATTCCATCATTTGGCAGCGATTGCTTGGCTTTTCTTCCTTTCATCTTCTTCTGAAATGGAAAGACAGTGTATCGATTCAATCATATCATCCAGAATACTCATGCTAATCAATGATTACAATTTTAAGGAAAAACATGCTGACCTTTGGCAGCCCGTTTTTTCCATCGATCTTTGTTCTCCTGCATGAATTCCATCCATGGTGTTGGTATTTCCAACTTTCCCGCTTGATTTAACGGTAAGAAACGAAATGAACTATTCCTTTCATTATAGCTTGTATTTCCCCTGAAAGAAATCAATTACCGATCTTTTCACATGAAGTAGGGATGAAATCGAACAGGATGTAGTACAATTCAATGTCCAATGGAAATTTAAATGTCTGCAGAGGTTTCAGTGTAGGAAAGAAGAGGGAAAAACAATTAGAAAAAACTTGGCTATGCGTAAATTTTGAAAGAAGCCCGACCAAAAAATTCATTCTAAAAGATCGGTCAAAAATCCAATTTCACTTAACAGCCATTAATTGTAACATTCATTTCCGATATAAACCTTTCTTAAAATTCATCCAATGATATTACTTAAACTTTTCAAATGAATCTCATCTTTCACAAAAAAGAACAAACGTTTCTGATTCCTGGGTAATATCGACACTTGGTAATAATGAATCAGAATTCTCGGACAGCAGAAAAGTATTTGATGACCGTAACGGTACCAGTGGTTCAATTATTCTCGTCAACATCTCCCCACAAATGATCATTGTCGGTTCAACAATAAAATCAATAAATCCTATCAATTACGAGAAAGTTAAAGTAAAGAGTTTTTAATGTTTCACTGAGAGTGAAATTTAACAAATGTTTTGCATAAAATTTGAATAAAGCATTTCTTGATGATAAAAAAATGGAAATTACAGAATTACTTGTCGATTACATGAAGAAGAAAAATGTTTGTTTTTCATTTCCACAAAGTTTATTTCTTGTTATTACAGACTTTAATATAGTTATTATTGCCATAAACCTTATTGTTATAGGCCTTAAGTGCCTTTAAAAATAAGGGAGAAGTACTTTGTAGTACCTCTCACTTCTTTTACATAGATTTTAAAAGTATTAACCGATTTGTGAATCAGCAACATGCACAGTATTTCTGTCACAAAGAGGCGAATACGGCAGACCCATGCTGGCTTCAAGATCACCCTGGCGAAAAAATTCCTCAAGAACGCCTTCAGTCCATCGGGAATGCAATTCCCACGGTTTCGAGGCATGTGATATATCACAAGCATGCACAATGAGGCAAATAGCTTTAGTTTTATCAATACTAAAAAAGAGATTTAATTTCAGCTAACGTTTTCCTCACGGTACGTTTACCCCAACATTTCTAATAATTTAAGATTACAGCATGATGATTCAGTCTAAACCCTACTAAGACTACTAAGATTCTGCAATGGTTCAGGTTTGGAAGTGAAAAGAATAATAATAATAATATCCGACCAGTGAGACTGATATGAATGAATTTTTCTCACCCCTCAGGCGATGATAACATTGCTTTCATGGTTTTAATTTGTGCGAAATGACTTGACATATCTGTTGCGAGTACGATTTCAATCAACAAATTGCGCAGTTCTCTGAAAATTTTCAAGCGGAATGAAATTTTTCATGAATAACAATCACTTTTGGATTCAATGAATGGAATGTATGAGAGATATGGATGATTATAAAAAGACTACCTGAATTCTTCTCTGGTTAACCTTTTCATGATATTTTTGTCGTCTTCTTTCAGCAAACGAAAGGATGCACTGATATGATGATTTTCCAGAACATTTCGATCATTATATAGCAATGCGTAATGCGATCTTCAAGATCATTTAACTCAGTTTACTCTTTTGAAGGAAGTATTGCTTAAAGTTTCAATGATAAATATGAATAGTATCAGCAATTTAACGGAACGGTCAACTGACCTCCGTTTTAAATATTTTAATGTACCATACAAAAAGGAATGTTCATATATATTTTATAGGTATATGTAGCAACGAATTGATTCCTCAGTAATTTTCTCACTGATGATTGGCTGATAGTAAATCTTCAACCTTTACAGGAAAGCTGAGAAGCACAAGTTTTCCAATCTACCCCGATCGAGCCCTGATCCCGAGGGTAACTGTGTTGGCCCCTACGAAAGTTGTGTAAATTTTACTTTCGAACTCACATATTTCAAATCCAATATTGGTTTTTCCACCACTATCCTCTCAACAACTTTCTAATATACCCTATAACCTTGATCAAAGAACGGATTTGCAGTCTTCTGAAAAATTGGAAATTTCCGAAAAGTTTTTTTGAAGTTTTTGCAACTCTGCCTTCAAAGTATTCAATTTGAAAATGGTATTGTTATTTTGAAAAACCTTGAAAGGTCAAAGACTGGGTATAAAAGTTATGTGTGTTTGGGAGATGAAATGACATTTCAATATTAAAAAGTGTATCAGTGCCAGCAAAACTCTGAAATTTTTAAACAGCGAAGAAAATGGAAAACCTAAATTAACTAATAGACAGATCACATGATTGAATGAAGCAGAAATAAATTACCCGGCCTGGATGTGGAAGTTGTTTGTGTGGCCCGTATGCTGATAATCATGTATCATGGCACCAAATATAACTGCTAACGTGTCTAGATCTGACAAGCTTGTCTGCAAGTTGTCCTATCATGTTTAAATTTGGTATTAAACGCCAAACAATACTTATCATTTTTTACATCAGTGTACTGTAGTTGGTTGTAAAATGGTTCAAGTAGCAATACGAATAAACTAAGAATGGAAAGCATCAGGTTCAAAACTCTAAAATTCTGAATGGCCATAAATGAAAAGCATACAGCAAAGCCAGTCTGTGACAACATGAAATGTGAAGAGGCGGTCACATCAGCAGCGTGGATGATGTTATGGTACGGGTTGTTGTGTTTACTGTATCCTACTTCCAAGGCCGCAATGTAATTCTCGAGTGTTTGCACGGGGATCTGCAATTTGAAAAGCGCCATTACAAAACCAATGTAACATCAATATTTTTGAACATATGCTGAAAGATACTAATAATAATAGTCTTTCAAACTTTTCATTTCAAATTAGCCATAAACCGTTGAAATTGAAGTAGGAACCTTATAGCGGTCAAGGAAACGATACCGGCTGAAAAGTTCTAGGCCAACATATTTCAGCGCATGTCCTTCTGATACTTCATTCAATCGGAAGCAATCAAATGACCAGCTATTCAGATTCTGTAGTTTACTTTTACTTATTTGATTTCTACTTCAAAACTTCACAGATTCCCACGAATTTTGATAAAGCTATGAAAGTATTTCTATTTTAGTGCAAGTTATCTGAACATATTGACGATATCACTTAATCTGATAAATTTGTTACGATTTTTTTCATTTCATAGTTGCATTTCGAAAATAGTTTAAATTATACCAATTTACGGTTCATTACTAGTTTAATACTTTTTATCGGTTATCTTAATTTTAATTATTCTTTATTAGTATAACTAAAAATTACTAGGGAATTTTGCTGAGAAAATTTTTATTTTTTCCAAATTTTTGAAAATAGCAATAAATTCAAAAGACCTTCATCAACGCAACAATATCTGGTGGTAATGAAACGAGAAGTACCTGCGACTTCCGGAACATCCTGGAAATAGCAAATGAATTTTCACATGTCACCGAAATGTATTACTCCCAACAATATGTAAATGGAGGGAAAGGAAGGCTAGGATTTTTTTGATATCAAAATGTAGGAAAAATGCTTACTTATCAAAAAAAATTCCTGTAAGTATGGCATTAGCTACCGATTTAAGTTTCGGTTTTTCACGTTTTAAATCCACCGACTGCTTTGTAAATGTTGCCGCAAGCCATTTACGCACTTCATCGGAAACTACTTCCGGTTTAACATCGGCCAAATCATTCTCTTCATCACAGATGCGTCTGCAAATCGTATATATTTCGACTTGACCAACTTATATGTTTTAATTAGATTAAACTGAGTGCGGAAAAATAAACACTGAGATGGAATTCTGCAAGTAACCATAAATAAATCGAAAAAATTTCAAATTAAAGCAATTATCTGACTTTGAAAAGTTTTTCAAAATTTGATACTTCCTAGACTTCAGTACAATAAGTGCTTCAATCTAACTTGCAAAAGGTCTAACTTGCAAACTGATTAAGGCATCTACATATAATCACCATGATAATCAGATATTTTAATCAGATCATTTAAAATTTATGCTTACGGTAATAAACATAGTTCCGATATGACACTCACAATGATAATATAATCATTCCTATAGCGGCTTTCTATCTCTTGAAATAGGGACCAATGCGTCACGATTCACGACCACATTATTATTGTTTACAATTTCAGTAATGTTACAGTCATCAGTACACAGAGACATCACAGTAATCAATAATGTTTTAACCTATGGATTGGTTACCTCGTTTCATCCATATACTCAGTTTCCAAAAGCAAAGTCATATATTCGAGATTCTTCTTGAGATTATCCATTGAAAGTTGACCGCTATTAAGCTGATGCAATATATATCGCAGCCTGAAATTCTATTTATTTTGACAATCTGGAATCAGATATTTTTTAAATAATTTGTAATATTACAACAGTAAGTTTCGGTGTGTGGCAAAAAATTTTACCTTCAAAATAAAAAAAAATAGCAAACGAAAAAAAACCTATAACATTTAAGGTAGTAAAATTACTGGTAAATATACATTGAATTTCAAAGAGAAACATTTTCAACTCAGTTTATACATTGTCTTTTGCTTACCTGCATGCGTGCTTTCGTATTGTGAGATTATGGGATCCATAGGAATTGCCAAGCATTATGCTTTGTATCTATGACGGAAATACGGAAAGAATTGAAATTCACTATTTATTGTTTCTTAAATTCCTATGCAAATTTTCTGGCGAAAGAAACGATGCTTACGAAGAAGAGACACACTTGTTTGGATGTTTAGATGTCTGAATCCAGTTGTGAATTCAAATTAGTACGGTGTATCAAAACCAAGATTTTTCCACTTTCAAAGAATGATTAAAGAAAGGAAATTGCAATTTTTGCTACGGAAATTTTCACTTTCCAAAAAAAAAAAACTTTCCATATGGATAAAAACTGAACACAAACGGCGCAAAGGACAGTCACACTCCTTAGCATTTAATTAATAATTTGTTAGATGTAAAGTCAATCTCCATGACTACAACCACGATTGACATCTTCAGTTTATGCTTTTAGATAAATTATTTGGCGGATGTAATCAAGTAGAGCTTCCATGTTAAGGTGACAACGCATTTCTACTAGAAGCACAAATCTCTTTGAGCCAAAAATCAATCGGTTATGATCCAGGTGGATGTGTTATGTTGCTCTCAAGTAAATAGGAT